AGATTCCACATCAGATTCTTTAGCCTGCCAAGGTCCTCTGAATGGCACAACCATTTGGTGTATCAGCTGCTCCTCCCAGTTTTGTTCCGTCTGCAAACTTGCTGAGGGCAAACTGTTCCATCGCCCATCCATTAATGAAGACATTAAAAAGTATCTGGCCCAGTATCAACCCCTGGGGGTCAGGACACTAATTATTTGCCACCAGCTGTACTTTGTGCTACTGATGACAATCCTTTGGGCCCAGCCACCCACCCATTTTTCAGTCTTCCTCACTGTGCCTTTTGATAGTTTATATTTAAGGATATTGTAGGAGGCAGTCTCAAAGGCTTTGGTAAATTTGTAGACATCATCCATTGCTCTGCCCATATCCTATCAATCTGGCTGTCCTATTAAGGAAGTCAAGTAGGTTAACCATTACTCCAAATCAACTTTTTCTCTATTTGTTTCAAATATAGTTGCCAGGATTAGTTACTCCATCACCTTTCTAGGGATGGAGGTAAGGCTGACTGACCTGTATTTTCCTGTATCATCCTTCTTACTCTCTTTGTAGATATCACTTTATTATAGCAATTCTGGCTGTTTATAGCTAGTCAATTCCAGCAAAAATACCCAGGACAAAAATTAAATTCTTGTTTGTCAGTCAGAAGAGCTATTAAATTCTTCTTTCTGCTAGCATTCTATGCCACAAGAAAGACCTTGTTTTCTTTCCAGTATTAGACAGGTAATTAAAAAAACACCAAAAGTCCATCTTAATACAATACAATTATGCCTATGTTTTAGAAGATACATAACTTATGCTTTCAGGATTAGACTGAAAAGAATGGACTTGAGAGCTTCCACAATTTTGATATTTTTCTTTTCTGTAACTGTTTGGAAATCTCTTACAACACAGTGAAGACATAGCACTTTTGAAAATCCCATTCTGAATTTTTGTAGGCTTATATTACATATAAAAATACACAGAAGAATTTTACCAAACCTGTAGTACAGATTCCTCACTTCCAAAATAAGAAAATGCCAGATTTTTTTGTTGCTGTTGTTTCTGATTCCCTCATTTTTATATGCATATGTATCTTTTAGTATCATGGTCACATAGTTCATTTTCCTTCAGATCCCAAAATCATCAGTGCTCAGAATATCCAATGAACAACTGATCAATATTCTTTTTCATCTCTTTTATTCAATATTAAACTCAGACAACATTGATCTTTTGGGAATCAAGAACAAAACTTGTATGCAAATTTTGCAAGGAAGATTTAACTATAAAGCCCTGTGAAATTTAGCTTTTTCTTTTCTCCTTTTCCTTTCCCCTTTTTCTTCATTTTTGCCTGACCTCAGACCCCTTTCCTCTTCTCTCAGGTTCTCTGTTTCTTCCACCCCAATGAACCTCTCCCTTACAGGTTACCCAATGCGTGGCAGCACAAGTCTTCAAACAGCAAAACAAAACTCTGGCTAAGAGCACAGACACTCCCTCAACCAGCCTGACTTTCAGCTGCCAGGGCAGCAGGCATGGAGGCACAAGGGTGGGAGCAGAGATCTGAGGATGGTGCCAGAGTAGGACTTGGGCAATCCAGGGTGATACTGGATTAAACTGCTGTTGAATCTCACTGTAAGTGACACTGGAGTGTGTGTTCCATGGCCCGGGGCTGTGACATTAATCCATACATAAAGGGAGTGGAAAAATGCCCTTACGCTGGGGATAGTAGGCTCTATCCACACCAGAACTTTGTAAATCTTGGTGAAATCTCTCTTTGTCCTTCTGTCTTAACACTGACAGTGGTTTCAATAACAGAAAGGGGGTGACATGAAACAATTTATTATAACTTGCGAACAGATTTCCATGGGTTTTTCGTTTGCTTGGTTTTTTGTTTGTTGTAGTGTATTGGTTTGGTTTGGGGTTTTTTACACGTATATAAGGTTTGAATGTGCCATAAAGTTCTTGTGCATTCATCAGACTGTACAGTGCCCTCTGTGGAGATTTTCTTGGCTCCACACAAGCTCAGAGACCTGCATGTGACAACTCCAGCATGTGGCCAAAAAAGAAGCACAGGATAAGTCTGCAAGGTGCTCTGTATCAATGGGCACTTGTAGCTGTTATCCAGTGTGTAAGAACTACCTACACTCTTCTTCAGATTATCCTAATAATGCAGTTGTTCTTGTTTTGTATGGTGCAGCACTCTTAAACTGCAATTACACTATATCTGCATAAGCATTCACAGAGATGTTTAATAAAAAATTTCTGTTCCAGCTAAAAAACATAGGGTACATTATGCACTGAGCAATACATGGACATATATAGACTTCAGGAACAGAAATGGCATTAAATATATGGCAATATGTAGGTGTGAAAATACAAAAATACATGAATAGTTGCACAGCCCACACATCTCCACTAGATTCTGCAGAATAGCATCAAACAATGCACAGGTATCGAGATGATGAACAGGTGCTACACTTATTTGTCAGTCAGAAGAGCTGTGGGACGCAGAATTAAAGGCGATTTTGGAACAGTAAGAAGAAAGGGAAAGACAAATTCCAGATGGACACAGAGTTGACACTGCTCTGCTGACCCAAGCAGAAAAAGGGACAAGCTGTAAATTACTACAAAAAAAGAATTTTGTAAAAGGAAGCAATGCTATATAGACATTAGTGCTCTTTCCACACCACACAGAGCTTAGAGCATGAATATACATCAGATTTAAATACTCCTGCAAAGTGTTAGAAAAAAAATCCTTTACATATGGTTATTTACACAAATATAGCCATGAATGAATAAAAAGACTGCACAACTACATGTATCATTAAGCAGGATATTCTATAGATCGTCACATTAACACTTGCATAATTATATATGATGCTTCCAAACATTTAATTTTTTTTTCTGTTCACTTCTTTAAAACTCACAAGAAGTAAGGAAATTCTCTTTTAAAACTGCAGACTGCTGTGTGCCTAAGCAAACCATTATTTGCTTGCTCGCAGAGTCACTTGCCTGTCTGTTAGAGTCACTGACGCATTAATTGCTTATCAAAACTTGAAACAGTTCATGAGTCACTCTGAAGATAAAATAAATACTAATGAGTCAATTTCAACGAAATTCCCCTCCTCTGCTTCTTAAAGCTGAAATACTGTATTTATTACATGTCAGAATTAAGTCTTGACACCTAAAACATGGGACAATATAAAATATACTGATTAGATCACCATGTTTCAAGGGATCATTGCATTACAGTCTTATTTGACCAAATTAGTGATCAAAGAGAGAAAGGACTGGTCAATTATAACAGAGAAGTTGGGTGAGAGATGTCTAGGTCTTGTGCAGTTGGAGTCAAAAATGAAGTATGTGGGTTTTGAAGCTGGGAAATGCTTCTATACACACATCATATTAAACTCACAGATTATTTTAATGAGCATTCGTGAAAACATGATCTTTGAACAAGCACATTGGCAACAAATATCATTACATAAGAAATTTTAGTATCCCTTACATTGAATGAAGGATGGGGAGAAGGAAGGCACGGCGTTTTCAGGAATATCAAAAGAAAGCACTATATTTTGAATCAATATGGAATTTTTCTTAAGCAAAAAGACTAAGTGGAGGGCTCTTCACCCATTTAATTTTCTACTAAAATTCAGTGAAATATAGTGTTTTGGACTGTAAAAACTTTCATTTTGAAAACACGAATGTGCTGAGAGACTTTGAAGTCTGGGCCAATGAAACTTCACTGTTGAAAATCCAAGTCTAAAACTTTTCAAATTAAATGACACAGGGTGAAATAGGAAACACGAGTCCTTCCCTTGAACCCTTACTCGCTTGTTCTAGCTTGTTCCTGAAAATGGCAGGCATAGAAGATCCCACAGAAATCAAAGGAGCAACAGGATATTTCCCTAAAAGGCAACTGTAGATCTGAAATAACTTGGGAATTAGACAGATATCAGTGAACCACTTGTGAGTCAAAATGTCAGTGAAAAACCCTTTTCCAAAAAAAAAAAAAAAAGACAGCTTTTCTCAAGGAATTTGAGCAGCAGGATATTTTGGCTCATGAAGCTAGTTGGTATAAAGCAGATATAGTGGGAAATTTGTAGAAATGAACCCTGCTATTCACAGATTACAGCAGGATGAAGAATCCATTTTATCAGACTCTGGGTCTTAGTAAGAAATGAAAAAAACTCTATTTATGATATTAAGCCAAGCTGTTTATTGTCAGAGGTCATACCAGCTGCTGAACAGAAAACACTGCTTTAACTTCAGTTAATCATGTACTGAGGCAGTCTTAGAAGTGCTCCTGCACCTCAGCTGATGTCACAGCACAGGGACACCTCGACACCCTCTTTAGGGTGTACTATAAAACTAAAGGCATCTCCTCAAAACAAGCTATCCAATCCAGTACTTAATACAGAATATGCCACTGTCTGCATGTAAGAATACAAAAAAAAAAAAAAAAAAAAAAAAAAGTGGATTAAATATAATACAGGAAAATTTTGGATTTTGGTAGTTACCCTCATAAATTAGCATATATACTACTTTTTTTCACTAAAGTGTAGTCAAATAGTGTCCACTTTCTATAGCAGTATCCTAAAATTCTTCACTTCACACATTCACAGCTAAGAGAGCTCTCATACAACTTTTTTTTTTTTTCTCTTAAGTGTAAGAAAGAATTTATTTAATGTTACAAATGAACTGTGCTGCTTCCTCTGAAACATACCAATTTCCAAAATTATGGAAATAATATATACAAAGTCATAGGTTCTTTAAGGCAGGCCACTGGTATCTAAAATAAGGATTGTTTACATTTATCATAATGTGCACACCAGATAACAATCAATTTTCTTGTGTTCATGAAAAGTATTTTTTGTGCTCCCAGAAACTGCTTAGTCAAGCAAAGCTGATTCAGATACAAATGTGTTCCTCACCATAAAAATGGTCAAACAAGTAACAGCTATCAGCAATACTTTTCCTACTGTCATGTTTGCCCCGAGTGTGAATAAAACCAGCACCTTACCTTCTCAGATAATTCTGGCACATTGATCCGAGCCTGTTCCAGAGCGTCCTGAACAAGGGAATGGAAGTTCAGCAGCACGTGCTCGATGCCGTGTGCTCCGCTCAGGGCTCCTGAGAGCTCCTCCAGGGACTGGAGGTACCCCTGCCAGTGGAGATCAACTTCGGCTACGCCAGCCAGGCAGCCTCGGATGATGTTGAGGCAGTAGCCCATGCAGGGCTTGCTCAGCGTCAGCCCCTGGCAGTGGGGGCAGTACTGCATTCTCAGCAAAGCTCTGCTGCAGTCTCTGGAGAAGCGTAGGTGATCTGTTGTATTGATCACTTCAATCCCCAAATTCAGAGCCTGCAAGAAAGTCCGGCTGGGCAAGAGTGACCTTCCCATTTGTCCTACGGCCTTTTTGGGAACGTTGCCAAAGGGCCTGATGTCTCTTCTCACCGCTTGGAGGCACTCTGCATATTCCAGGGAAATGTCAGCTGGACCAGGATTAATCACATGGTTGTAAACTACTGGAAACAGGATGTCAAAAAATCTATTCACAAATTCCTCTGTGCTGACATCTGTGCCAAATAAGAAGAGCCCAACATCTGTGAAAAACTCCTGCACATGCACAGTAGCCTCAGCAGCCATGTTTCTATACGCATTGCAGAAAAGTGTGCTTGTGTAATTCTCAGCCAGTCTGATGAGCATTTCAAAGGTTTCTGCAATAAATCATCCAATCAATCAATCATTAATTTTGAAGTTTAAAAAAAAGAAATTAGAATAAGAACATAAAACAATTACATGAGGACAACTTACATATATCCCAAATTAATTTTTGCATTAGAATTTTTGAGGAGACAAACTTCTCACAAACTACAATTGTCTATTCTATATAGGGAAGCACCTTACAAGTAATGTTACAATACAATTAATAGCCCATATTTTCTTTGCAGGTTACAGTAAACACAACCTAAAAAAAATATAAAAGGAAATAATTGTAAGCTTCATTATTAAGTTCCAAAATACAGCAAAGTCCTATTGTATCTATCTATGTATATAAACACATGAGCTTTCTCATCTCACAACTCATTTTGCAAGTTGCAATAGACAGCTGAATGCTCTTAGTAACTCCAAGTCATTCGTCTTACCATCCTAAATGGAAGGGCAAAATTAACATTAAACAATATAAACAACTCTTCAATTCTATTAAAACTTAGTAACTCTTAAATATCAGTTTTTATTTTGTGTCTTCCAGAGGAAGCAGATGCTCCAAACACACATGACAGCATGATTTTACCCAGTGCTGTTTGCTCTGGCAATTGACATGGTCAAGAACTATTTTCCTCAGGAACTGATGGATAATCCCTTGCTGAGCCTCCAGAACTGGATGACGAATAAAACCTGAACGGACAAACTTGCATTTCACACTTTATGTGGTAATCCTTAAATACAGTGAGTAGTGTTTAATAAAGCAGTTTAAGTATACTGGAAAAATATCCTCTTCTGACTTGCTCTATGATTTGCAGGTAAGAAAAAACATCAGTTTTCAAAACAGAAAAAGAGCATTTACATTGAGGAATTCCCTAGATCTGCCTGAGCAGGTTGCACTTTAGGGAAGGCAATGAAGCAATATATGGATCAAAAAGAAACTTGGCTTAGAGTTGAGAAGAGAAACACAGAAAGACATATTACAAATATTAACCCATTTTATACACTGAATGGCTACAACTCAGTAATATTTATTTCAAGTTTTACAAGTTTTCATTATTTTTTTCACATTCATTTTTAAGTAAGACTGTAAAAATAAAGTAAGGAAAAGCATGAAGCACAGTTAATACTGTCTAAACAGTGATGTTAAATACAGGCAGAATCAAATTGTGTGAAACCCTGTCAAGCAATTTCTGAAGCAATCTGAAGTCTGCTGGTCAGTCACTGAATGAAAGGTGTAGTAGAAAAAACAGAATAAATGCTAAAAAAACCAAGACTGGCTACCACATATTTAATAAATACCTACACCTAAGTGCGTTATATTATGATAAAAAGTTTGCTCAGGTCAGTGAAAGGATTCTTGCTGACTGCAGAGATTTTGAAATTGCATACTTTGTGAAAAGATCACATATACTTTGTATTCAGTCTCTCTTTTCTCCAATAAAAAAGAGATACATGCTTAAAAATCATAATCATTCCTCTGCTATCTCTAAGTCTTAGTTTCATATTTCAAACCACGCTTAAATTGAATTTGCTGTTCTCTTTTCTATTCTTCTAGCATTCACTCAAGTAAGAAAAAAGTGTTGACAGCTTACAGTAAAGAGTCAGAGAGTGCATCCCACTTGTGTGATTTTTTTGTTATTTTTATTGCTATGTAACATACAAATGTGAACCTCTCCTTAAGTGAATTTCACTATAATCATGCATGGATGCCAAATATCATAATGCCAAAGAGATAATGTCAAAAATCAAGGAGATGAATTTGTTTCAAAAGTCCTACTCCTAATGTCAGTACCCTTCATGAAACTATGTTCCCACCAATGGAGACCTTTTCAACACAGAAAAAGCCTCTTGGGTTTATCCTGTGGGTTAACACGCAGTAGTGCCAGCTGAGTACCTCTGCAGTTCCAGCACCTCCACCAGCCCCTCACACCTCATCCCTGAGGTACGGGAGACCCATTTCCTTCCAGAGCAGACAATGAGGCACAACAAATCAGACAGGGTAGATTAAATCTATCAATACACCCACTTTAAAGCACCTGAACCAAGGATGAGATCTCCACCAGCTGAACAGGCAGTTCGTACATCCAGCTCCCATGGAGGCACAGGAACACAGGAAACTAAATTACAGCCCTAAATTATTAAATATCTAACTATAATACATCTCATATTTATTGGGGAAAATAAGGAATTCAAAGAACAAGCAGTTCTACTACAGAAACTTTATTTAGTCCCCTAAGAGTGTTTGATAGCATTTTTAATGGTAGATGCCATTTTTTATTTCCCTGTCCAAAAGGTCATGTGTGTTTTGCAGGTGTTATGTCATATCTGTAGGCTCTTTATAAACATTTTGCATTTAAAATGGTACTAGATGGCTGTGCTGAGACCACTGAACTAAATTCTAGGTATCTACTTATCACAGACTTTACACTCCTTCATATAAAATCCTGGAGCAGCCCAGAAAAGTGAAGACAAAAAAATTACATAAAATTGATTCTTGGTTTAGATGGATTAAAATACTAGAATGTGAAGAATATTAGCGCTATTTTTATTATTACTTTTCCTAGACGGAAACCATAAAGTCTGTGATCTAAAATTCCTTTTACAATCCATGGCTGCAGTATCCTATTAACAAGTGCACAAATATTAGTTCAAAGAATAAGTCATACTGCATACGGACAATCAATAGATTTTACAACCTGGTCTAAACAATAACAAATCTTTGATATTGAACTATATTGCTGGGGACTCAGCAATCCCCAGATGAATGAGTACAATAATCAACTACATAATTTACTGACTATTTCTGCCTTTCTATATAGAATGTGATGATACTGGCCACTTGTGTTTACAATTCTGCATCATGTTGTTTAACTGTCATTTTATGATTTCTTACAGAATTTTTAAACTTTTTTTTTTTTTCTACTGGCACATTTTCTACTTTATAACCATGGCTATTTCAGAGATTTGTTTTGCTCTCAGCAAATTTGCTGACTGACAGCAAATCACACCTATGTTTACTTTCAATACTGAATACCTTATGATGGCAATCTATGTCATTTACAACACATTCTGAAACTTCAGTGACAAATCAAACTATACTGGTTCAATACTGCAAACTGTAGCAATGTGTTTATCTTTTTAATCTATGGGCTGAGACTAACATAATCAGCATTAATTACTCAGCAACATAAAAGAAGTAATGATTTTTCAATCAGTATAAATTGATACATAAAAAATACATTTTAAGTATAACTAAGATGAGCTAGACAAGCTCTTTCTATTGTTATGATTTTTTTAATCTTCAGGGAAAGTGTCTCCTATCTCCATAATTTATGAGATCTTTGTATTAATTGCTATACAATATCCTATAGATATTTTGTGCAACCCTACTATTAATAATTTCTAGTGTTTTCCACAGGTGACGTCAATTTTTCTTTCTTTGGTGACAATTAAAATGGTTGTTTGTACACTCCTAAATCAAATTTCAGGGTTGTCAATATTTTAACCAATTTATTTTTTTAAAGAATAGTAGTATTTCTCATCCTGATTTTACTAAAAACAAAACACAAGACTAGGAAATTTGTAGATGACAACTTGTTTTTTCAAACAAGTTGGTTTTTTAGCATTTTTGGGGTTTTTTTGGCATTTTTTCAGCTGATACTTCATACCAGTACATATATACATTATTTTTTTTTATAATAGTGTGTATAACAAAGTGATTACAAAGTGATGTAAAAATAACTATCAGGTCATTGCTTTAAAGGATTTGCTCTCTTCCTTTACCCTTTCAGTTCCTTAGAGCCATGGGTAGTTCTAAATTACAAAGAAGTTCCAAGGTATAAATTAGTCCAGTGGATAAATGTGCTTAAAATAACAATCAGAAGTATACACATGACTTGCTTACTAGAACAATGAGAACAAGCCCAGTTTTTTATTCCTGGACCTTAATGAGATTTAATGGAAATATTGCACAGAATAAGATTCTATTTAGCAAAACTGCCTTTCACAGTCCAGAGGAGATCCAAAATTGATGAGCCTGGACTATGTGAAGGATCAGCCCATAATATACAGGAATCAATAACTAACTCCAAGCAAACCTGGAAAACATAGCAATGTTATAAATGTATTATGATTTGAAAAAATTCTATGCGAAAGTATTGCCAGCTGCCATTGATGTTCAGTGATCTTGTAAGTTTTCCTTCTGCTTATGGGTAGCACAAATAAACCAGAAGCATCATACTCCCTCTTCTAAAGATTTATAGCACAATCAAATGTACCTTGCATGCATTGTCCTTCTAGATTCACAACAAATGTCTGAGGTACAAGTTACAGCCAGGTAAGCAAAAGGCATTCAGAAGTTATGAAAAAGAATAGTGGAGAAGAATTCATCCACCCAGCATTACATTCGTACTATCTGTGTTTAAAATACATCAGACAACTATGTATAGGTAGGAAATTCAGTGTAGCTATTCCTATTTACAAAGTGACAGATATAATGCAAAATCCCTGAATCGCTTACCATATCAGAAAAATGAGCTGGAAGAATCATGTCTTCAAGACATATAAATGAACTATAAAGAATGAACTTATTAGGGTTCATTATAACCTGTGAAGGTTATATGGGAGAGAGATCAGTAGGGTAAGTGCCAGTCAAATAGATTTGAGACTCACAAAGACTGCTCCTCATTAACACATATTTCAAATTAATCCATTTCATAGACTGCAGACTCACCAATGAAGTCAGTAAGAAAACAGGTATAACAGATTAAACCTGTAGCATAAGTAACTTTGTGTTGCCAAAGGATAGCGATGCACCTCAAGCTTTTATAGCTCAAAGTACTCATAACAAACTTTAATGTTTGCTAGATCTTGTTTGGTCTTGAATTTATTTTAGCTGTCTTTGAAAAAAAAAACAAACATTCAATAAACTTGAATTAGAATTGGTTGACCACTGCCTATGTTGTTCTTTGTCCAGTGGCATATTATTCATATACTTAAGGAGTTTCCT